TCCCGGGTCTGTACACCTGCTGTGCCCATTATGAGGGGCTCCCACCATCCCTGTGCTGAGTTCCCGGGTCTGTACACCCGCTGTGCCCATTATGAGGAGCTCCCACCATCCCTGTGCTGAGTTCCCGGGTCTGTACACCCGCTGTGCCCATTATGTGAAATATCAGTTATGTATGGACTGACACTTCAAAGGAAGGTGCTGGAAACACCTTTTTCCATATTCATTATCTAAGATTTAGTTCCATGTAAGAGGAGCTGAACCCTGGAAGCTCTTCTTAAAATAAGGCAGACGTAGTGCAAAGGACTGGTCACCAGTGTTGCCTGTGGTCACCATGCAACTGATCTTTAATCATTACTGACTTACCCTGCCTTGTTCTGCACTGGGTCTCTATGTGTAGGCGGCCATCTTGGTAGTGGTGGGGGCTTTTCCACCTTTCAGACCCTCCAGCAGAGTAATGACCACCAAATCTCACTCCAAATCTCCTGAGACAAGCAGATGGAGGCAGCAAAGCCTTAGATGATCTCACCCTGTAGATATATAGCTTTGAGGCTGTAGGTACAGGATTGCCTAGATACCCTCATGTACCTGGAGGTGCTCTACTATTTCTAGGGTATTGATTAGATACAACCATCACTTTTAGATATTCCTTATAACATATCAAATCTTCACTTTCCTTATAATATATCAAATCTTCACTTTCCTTATAATATATCAAATCTTCACTTTTTAAGTTCAGGTCTAATTCAGGTCTAATTTAAGACAACATGGATCCCGGCAGGCTGGAAGACTAAAGGTGCCCATACACTGCTCGATTTTCGTACGAGAATCGGGCGAAATCCCGCCATCGTACGAGAATCGAGCAGTGTGAACGAAGACGTGCGACCGTTTCTACTGTACAGTCGCACGTCTTTTGTCGAACCAACATGCTCGAAAACCCGCCGAGAATCGTACGATTGTCGGCGGGTTTCTAGCCTGCTCGTCCGATAGCTGCGGAACGGGCCGGTGTGCGCACGCGCACACTGCCCGTTCTGCATTGCGGACATCGAAAGCCCGCCCCTCAGCGGGGGAGGGCTTTCGATGATCGCAAGTACGATCTGCCCGTCCAAGGTGAGCAGATCGTACGAGCTTTCAATAAGCATACGACCATCGCAAGACAAAAGTCTTGCGATGGTCGTAAGGTGTATGGGCACCTTAAGTTAACCTGTCAGCCAGCTGAAGAAGATGAATGCCGGTGGAAGCTGCAGCCACTCAGGATTGAAGCTGCTCCTCTGAGTCATTTTGTTTGATAAACGTCCATGTTTGATTGCACCACATCTATACAAATGACAGATCAACATAAAACCCTAAAAAAATCATCACTTTTAGACGCATGTGCGCCGTTCTCAGGATGTGTCTCCTTCATTTCACAGTTCTCATCGCTTCACGTCAGAGAACAGGAAGACTGAGACGCACCGAAAAGATCTCAGATCCTGACAGAAGCAATTATTTTATATCCCCGCGGCTCGGAGCTGCCAGTTAGGGGCAGGAAACGGCGCAAATTTAATAATGTCACAACCTACCACCATTTGTTAAATGAACCAATAAAGCATATTTCATTAGAACGAGCCTCCTCCTCGCCCCTTCTCCATAAATTAACTCCGGCACAAGAAGAGTTTTAGCAATTCATGAAAACCGATCCCGTATTCCTGCGAGGATTTCGTGATGATATTTTACGCTGCCGGAGAACCGAAAACTACCTAGAGTCAAATTTGTTCCGAGTATAAAAGCTGCCATTAATTATAGAGAGCTGGAGCGAGACCGGAGGGGGGTGATGGGGCAAGAGTGTCATCTAGTGGCCGATATTGCTATAGCACTTCAAATACCGCTGTGTAGAATGGATTGGGCACCATAACGCTGGTACGCCATGTACAGGTGTCATCTAAATTATTCAACCCCCATTGCAAATCGGGTTTATTGGCAACATTTACAAGCTTTGCAATGAGCCAATCACACAAAAGCAATTGAAATAGGTCAACACGACAAATGTTTAACCACTTGCTACCTGGAGCAATTTATTACATTTGCGCACACATGGTGATAAAATCAGAATTTTGGGCTAGAAAACAGCTTCAGACCCCCCCAACAATGATATATTTTCTAAAAGCCGAGGTCCTGTAGAATAAAAAGATGCTAGTTGCAATTTTTTATGTCGCACGATATTTGCGCAAATGTTTATCAAACAAGTATTTTTAGGATAAAATACAGGTGAAACTCAAATAATTAGAATATGGTGCAAAGTTCATTTATTTCACTAATGCAACTTATGCGGTGAAACTAATATATGAGAGAGACTCATTACATGCAAAGCAAGATAGTTCAAGCCGTGATTTGTCATCATTGTGATGATTATGGCTTACAGCTCATGAAAACCCCAAGAACCCCAAATCCACAACCTCAAAAAAGTAGATTATTACATGCAATCAATAAAACAAGGATTGTACATAGAACAATATCGGACCTCTGACAAGTACAAGCATGCATATGTACTCAGTACTTGGTTTGGGCCCCTTTTGCAGCACTTACTGCAATTACTTTTGCACGATATTCTAATTATTCGAGTTTCACCTGTACACTAAAATGAAATTCAGTGCACACAAACAGAATATGATGCCCAATTCTTTGGTACAATATAAAAGAAGGGGTCAATATAAAAAAAACGGCCGGCCGCGAGCTCTCTAGATCTGAGCAGAACGTCTTTAGATGTCCGCTCAGCCACGCCCACTTGCGCGCGCCATGCGGCGTGCATGAGCGGGAAATACCGACAATTTAAAAACAGGCAGTGATGACTGTTAACATACAAGCAATCCGCCGGCTGTAGATTAGAAATGACGGACCAATAGGAATGATTACAGTTTTGTGAACGTTTTTGCAGGGGTGGGCTTTAAAGCCTATCTCCAGGAAGAAAGAAAACCCTTGCGGTGAGGCTGCCTTGGGGGGTTATGTAAAGGGATTTTACTTACCTGATCCCCGTCCCCTCTGGCTCCAAGACCGTGTAACACGGCCCCTTCCCCCCTCTGATATGGTGGTCAAAGACCTGCTGACCTCATCATGGACAATGCAAGTCCCATAGCCCTTCATTATATGTGAGGATGCCGAGGGACAGTCTACAGCCGGAGTGTAGGGGAGAGGAGAGAGCTGACTCCCGGGGGATCAGATTAGAAATGACAGACCAATAGGAATGATTATCAGTTTTGTGAACATTTTTGCA